CAGGTCCTGTTACAACAGACGCTGTTCAACTTTCTAATTTTGGTATGACCAATGGGTTTTCTGATGTTTTTCGTTTATTGCATCCTTTTGATAAGGGATATACTTTTTTCGCCTCTGGGGCATATGCCCACCGGTATATCCCATGTAGCCGTATAGACGTGTTTCTAGCGTCGGATTCAATTTTACATACAATTTTTCGTTGTTCTGTGGTTTCATTTTTGGGATCGGATCATTTACCTCTTTTTTTGGAATTTTTCCTCCACTCTTCAGTTCGAATGGGTGCTGACCGGGTGATTGGTTTCAAGGTGGGTTGAGAGTTATTCTCAAAAGAGGACAGCTCATAAAAAAGCTTATAGTTGCCACTTCCCGTACTCAGTTGACAGTGATTAACAATCGAATGGCTGAACTTATGCGTACAGCGGCGATGGTAGGGGTTGATGAGGCGCGACTGATGACAGATATGGATCAACTGAGACAGCAGTGGACTATGAATGTGCAACCAGCAGTGAGAACTGTTACACACCGGAAAATAATAGCGTGGCTCGTGAAAGGGGACCGAATGACAGCCCCCTTCTTTGAGGGGCGTCGCCCCCCTGTGAAGCTATGAATGATTCGTGCCATGAGGCACCTGTTCCCGGATTCACAACCTCTCGCAATCGATACACTGTCCATTATTCGTAAGGTGTCGTTGTTCTACGAAAGTCCGCTGGCTTCGCAGGCTCAACATACTGAGGATAGTTTGCTTCACCAATTTCATGAGCCCGTCTGGTCTAAGTTAGACAAGAAACTATCGCACCGACAGTCTGCGCTGTTGGAAAGTGATGTGACCCACCAGGAGATTCTTGATGCAGTCAAATCATTGGTTGATCACAAAACGCCAGGTATTGACGGACTGCCTTCCCTCCTCTTTAAGAGGTTTTCCCCTCTCCTTATGCTTGAGCTTCTGACTGTGTGTCGAATGGTTTGGAATGGAGCTGACTTGCCTGCTACAGTGTTGGAAGGCGTCATCACCTTTGTGTTTAAGAAAGGGGATCGCACCGATGTTCGTAACTATAGGCCGATAACATTGATGCCTGTAGTGTATAAGATTTTTTCGAAAATCTTGGCGGCCCGGTTGCAAAATGTTTTGCCTACGATAATCCACCCTTCTCAAACGGGATTTTTGCAAGGGAGAAAAATATTATACACTGTTATGATTGTAGAAAGATTCATGGAATGGATGTCCTCAACGGAAGACCAACTTGCGGTTATCCTCTTGGACTTAGAGAAAGCGTATGACCGTGTTGGTTGGGAATTTCTCAAAGCTGCGATGACTGCCTTTGGATTTGGGCCCAAATTTAAACACGCTGTGCAAGCCTTGGTTAAAGGTGCCACATCGCGCCTGTACATTAATGGCACTCTCTCTCTGCCCCTTTCCCTTACGCGATCGGTTAGGCAAGGTTGCCCTGTGGCTCCTTACTTGTACATATTGTATGTTGAAGTGATGCATGTTTTGATTAGAAGCAACTCGGGGATTCCAAGAGTTCTGCTGCCATCGGGGGATAGGTTGAAATCTGAATCCTTTGCGGATGACTCTATCGCTTTTACTCCTCTTGATGATCAAGCTTTTCCGGCGTTGAGGGACACAATTGATCTTTTTTGTCACATGTCATGATGGCTGCTGCTGCTAGGTCATCATGTCGACATGACTCGTGTGCCATAGGTAGACCGTCAGTCCCTGAAGTCTCCCCCTCCTAGCGTCGATCTAAGGGTACGTGTCGGGCCTGCCTCAGTCGTGTAACAACATCAGGCTCCTCCAAAATAATCGACGCCTCTCTCAAACCGTACGTCCGCGGCGGATCTGCTACGCTCGTCCTGGCACCGCCTGCGCCCTCACGTCTGCTGTCACCGTCGCCACCACTGCCACCGTCGCCACCCCCTCTACCGCCAAACCCTGCAGCTACAACATCTCGACGTCTCGCGATCGTGGAAACCCCTCTCAAACCTGACTGACGACCGACACTCGCCGTCGTCACCCGTCTCGTCTCACTCCATGGTTGATCTGTGCGACCGAACAACATGGTGTCCAGCAACTTCCGCGCACGCTGGGTAGTGTCTCTCCGTCTACAGGCAACCGACCTCGGAGTGAGGCTGCCGCCCTCTCTCGGAGTTGCGCTTAAGGGTGACGAAGGGCCTGCGGCGCCTCTAGATGGCGCTGCGACGAGAAGGTAAGTCCCCTGCGGCCCCGCCCGATGCCGCTGCGATAGAACCTCCAGAAGGTAAGCCCCCTGCAGCCCCGCCAGATGGCGCTGCGATGGAACACCCAGAAGGTAAGCTGGGGCTGGCTGGCCCCCAAGATAAGTCCTACACGTGAGGAAGCTTCCCCTCCTCGGGGACTGACCTCAAAACACGCTGGTCGATCTCCGTCAAATCCCTCTTGTCGTGGTCCTCCAACTCCTTTGCGGTCATAAAACCAAAAGGGAGGCTGCCTCGAGGCGTAGCCACAGGCCTAATCTTCGGCCTCGTCCGTGATGGCGCAAAAGTAGGGACCGGGGGTATGCACGCGCCCCTGCCTACACGTCGCTCCTCGACCGGGCCACCGCCATGTGCAGGACGCCTATAACCCTCCAAAAACGGTGCCTGATGTGGCACCACTGGCCCCACAGCAGTGCGAACCACCAAAATCTGTGGCATCTCCTGTCCATCCGCGTCATGCCTGTCCACCTGTGTGGGGTCTCCCCCACCAGACATGGACATCGGATCGGCCGGGCGGCACCTCCGACCCGCCAACACCAACGGCCCCCGCTACGGCCCCGTCCCCCCCGGTGGTCGGCGCTATCCCCTCCGCCTGTGGGCGAATATCATCAACGCCCACTGACTGCCCCGTTTGTATGTCCTCCAGACTCGGGGACATATATACGGCACCCTCAACTGAACCCGTGGGCAGAGGCACGCCCGCGACCTCCTGCAATGTCTCCTCTGGCCTCAGCTGCACGGCAGGAGACTGCGCCAGCTCCGAACGTGGCTCCTCTGTCGGTGCCAACCCGCTCTCGCGTCCCCTCCTGAACATCTACTCCCATACACGAAACCTCTGCTGAAGCCGCCTCCGCTGCTTTGTATCGTGAACCTCTGTAGGAGTATCCGTGTGGGCAGCTGGCCCCACGTCAACAGAAGTCGTCGTATATGTCCCCAACTGCCTCTGTCAGTCCTCGGCCGCAAGACGGGCGAGCTCCTGCGTCCTGGGGTCCCTCTGTGCCATGAGGCATGCTCGACGACTCTCAAGCCTATCCAACCTCTCCTCAGATGTCTCTCCTGGAGGTGTGTGATCCTCGTCTCCCTCTGCCCCCGACATCACCTCCCCGCGCATGGCAGGGGAGAAACTGTTCGGGTCCAGGAAGATGATCTGTCCTAATAAGGTCTGCATACCCACACTGATGTCCCCACGGGACTCGCTCTCTCCACGGGGAAGACCCACGCTCTCTCCCGGGGGCATACCCATATCGCCAAGTTCACTGAAATCGCCTCCGCCGCCCATCGGTATCCCCTCAACCGCCGCATCAACCTCGACACCGCCTCCACCTCCGACTAGCGCACCACCATCTCCACCAACCAACCCCTATCTGTCTCCGTCGTCACCCTGCACCGGCATAGGACCGCCCTCCAATCTGTCCTCCAATCGCTGTCTCGGGCCCCTCTCCAATCTCTGCAATCGATCTGCACTGGCTGGCTGTCGATGAAGCTGCTCCGTCGAAGTGGGAAGAGCGGTGGATGATGCCATGCCAGAGCGACCCAGAGGACGATGGTCAATCCCCGACTCAGCCCCCCTCGAAGGTGCAGACCCAGGATCTGTCTCCCGCTCAGCGGGAAGCGGGGCAGTGGACGTAGGCCTCGGACGCTCTAAAGGGCTCCCATGACGACCCCCAGACTCCTCCTCCAAATCAACTCGAAAGAAAAGGTCATCTCCGCCACTCCGTCTTCGGACGTCCTCTGGGTCGCTCCACTCATCACGCTCATCCGCCGCATGAGTGGCGCTAGCGGGGCCTGCCGGCTCGTCCTCATCCTCGTGACCCTCGGAATCACTGTCGTCTCAAGGGTACGGGTGCAATGTGGCTGCTCGAGTCCCAAAAACATCGCCCACATCACCCGGAGGAGCTCTGGACCCACATGGGTCTCATTGCCATGAACGTCTCTGATCCTCAACCTCCTCCCGCGTCCTGCTCTCGTCCGTCCCCTTCCACGAGGGGCGAATCCCAATACCTCCCTCCACGTTCAACAACGACTCATCTAGAGTCCACGGCACCGCGAACCCGCGGCCTGCCCGCGGATGAGAAAGAAGGTGGACGTTGGCTGAGATCTCAACCAACTTCGCAACCTTCTCGAACTCAATTCGGTTACACTTCTTCGTATGTACACCCTCATGGACGGCCCAATTCCTCTCCGCAGGAGAGGAGCACGTCCACATGTACATCACACGAAGAGCGATAACGTGCAAGTGCGGGGCGCACTGCCCGTACCGCCACCACCAATACCCGGACTCGTACGTCTCCGCATCGCCCCTGCACCTTTGTGCATGTCTATCTCCATCTCTCCCCCCCCAAGCAATCGTTCCCCTTCGTGTGTGGAAGTCGCGCAACTGTGCACATTCGGTCTCGTAGTCGCGGCTCGCCACACTGAACCCTGTCTGCGACAAGATGTAAGTCTCCGCCTCCCTCACCAAACTCGCGTCCTAGTCGCTGACCACGCCCTCGAAGTACTGCAAGTCCCACGGGCTGGGACATAGAAGGTGAGTAGCGGCGTGCGCCCGCTCCAGCATGTGAGCGCATCGAGCCTGCACCCTTTGCACAATGTAGTGTGCAAGATCTGCCGGAAGTGCACAAACCTCCTCTGCTACCTGGCGTGCCAGATCCTGTGTCCACTCAACCACCCGCGACATGGGTAACCCTCCGCGGTCCAACCTGCGCAGCAGGTCGTACACAGGCTCCATGATACGGAACAAGATGCCCATGGAATCCCACCAACTGCCATGTCGCACCTGCCACCTAACCCACCTAGCCAACTGATGAACGGAATGGTCCCAAGGGACCATACCCTAAGTATCGCCATCCACCGTCCTCTCCAAAGTTGACCTCACTGCCAGCAAACGCTCCACCATCACGAACACGGATGCGAAACGTGTCTCGCAAGGATAGATGAGGCCCATCTGAGTGCTTTCCCCCAGGAAGATATGGAGAGCGGCGCCGTGCTCCTTAATGAAGCGCACCACCGCTCTCCCCCTCACGATGATGTCCTTGGACCACGGGCCCGAATAGCCAATGTCTGACAACATCTTGTTGCAGACATGCACTGCGCATGGGAGCCACGTGATCCGTCGATGCTCCGGCCTCTGCTGGGGCCCCTGGAGCATGTTCGCCGCGGCGACGTACGCCGAGGCGGAGTCGGTGCAGATGGCGTTCACCCACTTAGGGGAGAAGTCATCGAACACCTTGATCCAGCGCGCCAACACATCAGGCGTCCGATCCCGCTCACCCTCCCTGTTCATCGTCCGGACGAGCATCACCCCACGCGACCCGCCGGCAAGGAAGTTCACAATGGGTCTAGCATCGCATGACTTCCTTCCGTATGACATGATGGTGGCCCCCGTGACATAAAAAGGAGCCCTGACCTCCGCGAGATCAGCTCCCACATCGTCCGCCGTGTGGACAATGGTCTCTATGTCCACGATCTCATTCTCTGAAGGCCACAACACCTTCACTGGCCCCGGCAAGTCCCTGAAGTGTCGGACGACGTCCAACCATGGCTCGCTCCGGAAGACGTTGAATGCCAGGCGCTGACTGTACACAAACCGCAGCCACTTCTTCTTGAACTCCATCTGCCACTTTGAAGTGAATGACTCCGTGATCATGTTTTGTCTCATCCTCTTCTGTGCTGCGGCTGCTGCCGTCGGTCTGTCCCCCTCCTCTCTCTCCTTCCTCTTCCCCGCAGACGCACCCGCCTCAGCCGTATCCGCACCTGCCCGTGTACG